TCTGGTCATATAGCCCAGGGAGCCAAACTATGAGGGATTATTTGGGTATCAAACATTCCTTCTCTCTTCATCTTCATACACCCTACTTCCATATTTGCATTGTGTTAAAAGTGTGTAATTAATATAGAAGAAGCAATTAAGTTTTAATTGGAGTCATGTTTTTATAAAGACTGTTTTTAAATGAGTTTTAACATCTTTTTCACCTAAGAATAAAAAGACAGGTACTTACACTGACGGAATACATAAATTAAAATATCTATTTAATAGATTGAGTATTAAAGCAAAGGGTGGCAATCTTTTCTTCTTTTCCCAACATAGTTTTGCTCTGGTGCCATTTTAGGATGTTTAATGACCCATGTGGTAGTTGATGTGGTCAGAACTAGGATCCAGCCAGCTCCTCTTGGCCACTTAAGGCTGCTGTGGACATGTCCCCTCCCCTCCAGTCATTGGGCTCTGCCCTCTGGGGCCATTTTGCCTGGGGCTGCAAGAGACTGGACACTTCCACAGCAGCCCATCTAATGCCTGACTGGTGCTTTCAGGGCTGATCAGGGCTCCTCGCATTCATAAGCTTAGAGCTCTTCTGAAAGAGTGCTAGAGACCTAAACTGAAAAAACGGGAGCTGTGCTGCCCAGAAGGTCAACTGCAGCTGGGAGAGTAGGCCAGCTGTGTTGCTGGCTCTGACACCAAAAGTACATTACAGATATTCTGCTGCTTTTGTGGCAAAGGGCCTCACGGGACTGTATTTTTACTGTTTTTATTACTTTAGAAGGGGCAGCACCATTTTGCCCACTCTGATGCCATGTTTATGGGCTATTTTTGCTTACAGCCAGCCAGTCCACTTACAACTGCCGCTGCTTTTCCCTTGAGGCTGGAGCTTGCTTGGTATCAGCTGCTCGCTTCCACTTCACCTGTGCTTCTGTACCAACCAGTGCTAACCCAACTGACAGCTCCCAGGGGGCAGGAAGGGGAGGAGACAGGGGTGTCCCTAGGGTATGGTCAAAAAAGACAACATGGCAGCCATGACAGCACAATTGAAGCTCTGTCCATTTTTTACGTGCAATGAACAGGCACAGCTTTGATCACACCATGATGGATACCATCATGACTTTTTCGACTTTTTGACTTTTTTGACTATACCTGGTGGACACCTCTGGCAGGAGATGAAACAGGAGGGAATACCTCCAATGGTCCTTGTAAATCTTCATCCATGTCTGTGATCTGTCCACCAGGCTATTTCTGAACACGTGTCTCCCTCCTTCCCACACGTCACTTTCCACCCCTCTTTTCAGCAAGGATATTTTTGGATGCAGGTTTAACACTCTTTCAAAAGAGTGCCAGACTCATGTTCAGAAATAGCCCAAGTGACAGGGCCCAAAGCAAAGCACCTGTGACTTGGTACTTTCCTACAATTGCTTAACCCTGCCTCAATGGCATTGAGTAGAGTGACTGATGGTTCTTCCTGCTGGCAGGTGAAGCTCAGTGGGTGGGAGACGAAGCCAGGGGAATCCAGCCAAATCCACCAATCTCTTTCCTTAACTTGTCCTACATTAGAACTGTAGGGGCAGTACCACTCCCCTGCTTTCTTCCTGAAGCAGAATAAAGCTTCCCAATCAGGGCAGAGATGCCACCTATTTTTCTGCCTTCTACCCTCAATGACTGGAGGCTAGTACATTAATGCAAGCATCCGGCCATGCCTTTACAAGAATTGTAGTCCAGAAAACCTTCAACCCCCAGGTTAAATTGACTTGTTTATTTATTTATTCATTCTTTCATTCATTCATTCAATTGCCTTTCTAGACAACAGGTTCCCAACTAGCCATGCTCCCTTTTTTAGGCCAGCAAAGTACTTAAGTAAGTGTCCTTAGGCTCTGAAGACCACTAACATCAGCACATTTCAGTGTCTTCCCAACAACTGTTCTTGAGGGCAAATACAAACAAAAAAATTCCTTACAAGCTAAGGTTGTGACCTTATGCAGAAGGATCTATTGCAGGGTTTCTCAACCTTGGCAACTTTAAGACATGAGGACTTATGCTGGCTGAGAAACTCTGGGAGTTGAAGTCCACATGCCAAGGTTGAGAAACTTTGATCTACTGAATCCATAGCTCATGCCCTACTATCCTGTGCTTTCTACAAGGACACAAGGACCTGTTTTATAACTCCCTATTTGGCAAAGCACCCAGACAGTTTTGACTGGTGCAGCTACTTTTGTGAGACTAGTATGATTTTGTCTCCTTAGATGTGTCTGAATTTTGTAGTAGACATGCTCTGATTGCTTTAATGACTTAGCTACCATTTTATGTTGTCTTACTTTGTTTGAAATAGAAACTGTTTGCTTAGTTGTTTCCTTGTAAATTCTGGTGAGTGATCGCAATAAAGATATTACCATTATTACCTTTCTATACAAGCAAGTGCATAAGGCAGAATCTATTTTAGGACAAATTAGTATCTTTCCATACTCTTAATTGTTATGCTTGTACGTTTTGGAAGGCAGTAACCTTTATTACTGCTCTAGAAGGCAGCAACTCCCCATATAGACACAGTGTCTATATGGGGAACATTAGGCCTAGTTTGTGCTCATTGTTGTCCTCACAAGAGCTACTGTCTGTTGAGAGTGAATTGCTTCTTGCCCCATCCTTGGCCTGCTCAGGTGCTTCTCAGCGACCGACCCACTTGCCTGTCTCAACCATAGGAAAGCTACTAATACGTATATCCTTATTTTGAAAGTCCATGCATATGCAGAGACTTTAACAGAGAGCCATAATTACTCTTGCATCAGATTTGGAGGCAGTTCACACATTCATTGCACTCCTATATTTCAGCCTTCACCAAGTGGATGTCCCCCAGATTGGTTAGGCTTCAACTATCATAATTCTCAGTCAAGCTGGCTGAGAATCTGAGGAGTTGAAATCCAGTTCAGTTTCACAGCAGGTGGGGAAGCTGCATTCACCCTTGGAATCAGAAGTATTGATTAATTAGATTTATATCCTACCTTCTGTGGAGGAACTCAAGGCAGTGTGCATAGCACTTCCTCCTATTTTTTCCCACAATAATGCCATGAAGTAAATTAGGCTGAAAGAGAGTGACTGGCCCAAAGTTACTCAGCCAGCTTCTGTGGCTGAGGGTGGACCAGAACCTGGGTCTCTGCACTCTTAGTCCAACCCCTTAATCACTACACCACACTAGCTCTCAGATGCCACTGCTTCTGTCTGTCTTATCCTACCACATCCTCTGTATCTTTAATCATTTCTGCACTAGCCGTTTATAGCATTTTCAAGAGTTTTCTAAACATTATGGTGCCAAAATAACAGTGATGAAAGCATTTGTTATCTCACTTCAACAATGTTTGGGTGATGCTATGAAGATGCTATGAGTCACCAGTGTGAAAATGACCAGTGTGTGTGTGAGAGAGATATAGAACAGGAGGCATAGAGAAAGAGAATGAGTATGTGTATGATTTTTTTTTCCTCACATGCTTTTTAATTTAATTTAATGTAAAGAGGTAGGATTGATATAAATTGTGCATCTGTGGGCACTCATACATTAAAATGTAACCATTAAATCACTGAAAGTCATAATTTTACTTTCACCCAGTTTAATCTTTGCCCTAATTTAATTTTTGTTCAGTTTCCACTCACTTTTAACATCTTTTAATGTGACTTCCCCTTTTGTAAGTATGGCTTTCAACATGCTGTTCAAAAGCCAGTGTAGACTTGATCAAAGTTGTGCACTTTTACTACATATATAGATAACACAAATTGTCCTAAATTCATACACATTTCTATCAAGATTTCCTTTCCTCTGTGATTAGTGGCAGTATGAATGGAGACAATTAAAATGGCAGATGTTGACTCCTACACCCAGCCAGTGTCCATACGTGCAGTAGAACATATACATAAGGGCTCAGATGTGTATATCTGCATGCAATTCACATTAAGACATATAAATTTCTCTATAGACATTCCTCTATATATTGTATATAATATGCATACTATATGCTAACATTGGACATAGTTAGAACTAGAACCTAAGATTCAACTACATTTCTACCTCTTTCTGTGTATACATTGAATGATACTGAACAGCTCTATAGTGTTGTGCACACAAGCTAAAAATGTTTTATGCTTGTTTTACTGCGATGTTTATAGTTCATTGAACTTGACTCAACCCTAATGCTTCCTTTGTCTACCAAACATCAGTCATGCTGATAAACCACTGTTCTGATAAAGAATCAATGTGTTTGTTCATGCCACTAACAGCTTTCTTCTCTTTAATCTATCTTTACAGCTTGAGGATAGGGCACATAGAAATATTTGTACATTTATTGTTGTATTGGCTGCACACTTAAATCGAATAGGAATGAATAGTGTTTCTTCATTTACACTCTACTACCATCCATAACAAAATTGCATTTTGCCCATTAATAATATTTTTTCTATTTTCCCTTTCCTTAAAGGCAAAAAGGTTGATTTTTCAAGTCCCTTGAACAGTGAATCTCCAAAAAATCTTGTACTAGTGTTGGTCTTGAAAAGAAGTCCTGCATTTGACCCGTAAAATATTGCACTAGGGTTTGGCCTTGATTCATTTCCTTTTTTCTTGGAGGAAGTATATTATGTTATCATCAAACAGTTCTCCTGTACTTTCCTTAGGGTTCTTCCACTTCTTTTCAAGTCTTAATAAAACTGCCTTTAAAAAAGCTACTGAAGAATAGCACAGATTTCATGGGTTTAGACTGTTTTAGTGAATATTTCCCTGTGTCGGCTTCCAGGTGTTTTTGAGTAGAGCACCAGCCTAATCCCTTCTAGATGTGCTGGGATTACAATTCCCAGGATTCCTAATTGGCAGGGGCCGCGATCATACTGGCAGGGGTAGGAGGCATAATTCTGAGCTTCAGAATTGTGTATCAGATAGGTGAGCCTATTAACATCTAACTATTTCAATTTCTTCATTATCTATCATATCAGTGTCATTTTAAGAGTCTTAATTTAAATCGGGTAGTTACCTTATTTACTGCCGTAAAAAGAGTCCCGTCCATTGGTTAAGATGCAGAAAGTAGATTCAGGATGCCGTGCAATGGATGAAGTGGCCTCTCAAGCACAATTTTTAACACTGATCTTTCCATTTGTGCTGAAATGCTCTTTGGCTTAAAAATATTGAAATATTGGTGCAGGAGCACTTTTTAGGGAAAAATATTTTACCATAATGTAAGCCAAAAACAAACTATGGCAAAGAAGTGGGGAAATGGTTCAGCAGCACTAAAGAAGAAAGGACGATCAGTGAACGTTTGGGCTTCCTCTGGGACTACTTCTCTGATGTAGGATTAAGGTTGCCCTAGTGCTGCTTATTGCCCAGGAGGTAGAGCAGTTCACCAGTGTTTAATAGCCAATTTTTAAAAAAAATATTACCCAAAGCCATCAGGAGAGGAAGAAGAGAAACCCTGTGTGTGCTAACAATGAGCTGTCATTGATTCATCACTTATTTCTCAAGTCAAACAGAACTCCCAAGCCACACCTCAGTTTTATCGCTTTCTGGCAAGGCTACTAAGCCTAGTATCCTGTTTCCTGCAGTGGTTAATCAACCAGATCCCATTTGGAAGCCCACAAACAAGGCACATAAACCTCTCGGATGATCTGGCTGAGCTATCTGGGGTTGCAAAGTTTCTAATTACCCAGAATTCTTTAGGGTGCTGCAACCAGAAAAAGGGCGCCACATAATTCAAAACCCTCATAATAACATAATTGGTCTGACAAACTATAGAACTGCTCAGGATGCAGCACATTTGTTTCTCTAGTTTCTGGAGCTACTGGATTCAGAGGGAGACTGTAATGTAATTATTTATAACAGGCACAGCCACACCTTGAAATATAACTCCTACGTTGTCTTCATATGACCTATGCTAAGTGCTGGGTGGTTTCAGGTAGTTTTTCATGAGAAGCTGACTCTGGTTAATTATTACATGGAATAGCAAGAAAAAGCTCTGTGTGATTTCAGAGATATGTGCATGCCTTCAGTTGCTGCTGCTTAGTAAATATTCAGCAGTTACTTGATTTTGTAGGCAGATCACCAAACCCTGCCGTAACTTTTATGGTCAACCTTGGTGTAGACTCAGAAAGGCTCTCAGGATTACTCCAGTGCAGTTGAGAAAAAGTCTCAAAAGCAGCGTGCACAAATATCATCTCATGTTGTAAAGCTGCTTCTACTGTAAGTAGGGAGTGTTGCACAATTCGCCCCTACAAAACAGTTTTATAAAATGCTAAAGACAGGGCACATCCACAAAATCTTAATTTCCATCCACCAATCCCCCGCAAAGCAGTTAGAAAGCAATATTTGTCTTCATTTCTCCTGGCCTTGAATTCACAGGGGACAACCAAGGGCCAATCAGTCCTCATTGTCTTCCCCTCTAAGTGACCAATAGGAGAGGGCAAAGTCAGCGTCCCACCTCTGAGTAGCAAAAATTCCTTCATCCCCAGAAAATATAATGAATTCAAACAGACACAGATACACTATTCTTTGGCATATCAGAGGTGGGATGCTGATTTTGCTCTCTCCTATTGGTCACTTAGAGGGGAAGACAATGAGGACTGATTGGCCCTTGGTTGTCCCCTGTGAATTCAAGGCCAGGAGAAATGAAGACAAATATTCATGAGCATTTATCTGGTGATTTGCCTAAAATTCTGCCGTGATAAAAAGCTATTGTAAGAACAGGTCAGTTGTTTATTTCTTTGTTTTGTTTTTGGTTTTGTTTTTGGTTTTAAGAGCAATGAAAGGTTTCCCAGCTGCCTTGCTAACATTCCTCTGTTGCCTTCAACAGCTCTCATGAACTGGGAAGGTGAAGTCATAACATGCTTGGGAAAGCTAATTTTCACCTTGGGAAAATCAGGCATTTTTCCCAAATGCCGTGACCACAGTTGTTGCCTGTTGCTCTGGTGGCAAGAGTGAAAGAAGGGAGGAGTTATGTTCTATGTATACCGGAAGGGAGAAGGTCTGTGAGCAGGATGCTGAAGCTTTATAGAGGTTGGGGAAGCCTGGGCCCCAGAGCATGGCAAGAGTCTCAGCTTCTGGGAAAACAGGCTACCCAGAAGGTTTGCAGCAACTCAAAGGAATATGAGTTTTGTTACAGTTTCCCATAAATCAGAGCAGAATCAGAAATACATTGACAACACCCAGAAGCAGACAATACAGTGAAATTACTCAGATCTGGAGATTATCTTAAATCCACGTAAAACAATGTGTGGAGCGTGGCATCTCCAGCATTTCTAGAACTTCTCCATATGAAAACAAACCCATAGAAAACTAGCGTGCGAGGTTTCTCAGCCTTGACCCTGACACGTTGCTCACTACTTTTTTTGTGCAGGATTTTTCACCTCACAAAAAAACATGTCAAGGATATAACACCAGCACATGTACGCAGACACATACATCCCCACCAGCAATTGGGAATAGACAGTCTAAGAACCTTTTTACCAGACAGATCTACTTAAGTAACCCAGTTCTTAGCATTTTACTTTATGCATTCTTAACCGTCCATGCTATAGTTCAGAGGAGGCATGTAAAGGCAGGTCATAGGACTGCCTTCAAGAATTGGGGATTTCACAGAACTTGAGGCAACAATACTAGGCCAGAGAACTGATTCTAATCTCCATACAGCTCCTTTTCTGGTAATTGTTTTTTCCCCTCACCTGGCTTTTTTACTCTGCAAAATATGGGATTCACCAGAGCCAGAATGAGATTTAGAGGGAAAAAAATCAGTTTCTTAATATCTATCCCCTAAAAAATGTTTTATAAGATCTGACCAGTTTTCTTAATGTAGCAACATTAACATGACTTCTAATGAATATATGGGGAAGTGGGGGGCGGGGAGTAGGAAAACTGTACTCAGATATCAGAAGAAAAGTGACTATATTTTCCTAACTTTAAGGGGCAAAGAGTTGTCTGCTCAGCATCTTGGGGGCAAGAAAAGCTCAGGTGAGGAGATCATGCCAGAAAAGGATGTTGGCATCTCTAGCATTATATAATTTTTATTTAAAATTTTAAGAACAATAATGACTACAACAAACTAAATTAGAATAGAAAAAGTGAAAAAGAAAGAAAGAACAGAAAAAGCTAAAAGTGTAGTAAGGAAAGAACATAGAAGAAAATAGGAAAAAAAGAGCAAGATATAAAGAAATATATAAAAACATAAAGAAGTGGCTTCCGATATTGTTCACAGCAGTTATAAGTACAAATATATTTTAACCTCTCTCTCTAATGGTACATCGTATTACTCTTCTTTCTATAATCGATCCTGTTTAATCATCGAAACCATAAATCACAAGTTCATTTTTTTCATTTTTACACAAAAAAACCATAAGGGGTTTCCAGTCACCAATAAATATAGATATTATTTTTTCTCTGAAAAAAGAAATCAGTTTATCCATCTCAGCAAGATCTGCCAATTTCACCAACCATTCCTCCACAGTTGGTAGTGCCAAATCTTTCCATCTTTGTGCATATAATAACCTCGCCGCAGTAACCACATATTAAAATAATCTTCCATGAGTCATACACAAACAAGTTTAAATGGCAAATGTTTTAGATGTTGCTGAAAGCTGCAATGAAGCAACATGAAATATAAGTATAATCTAGTTACAAATAATTCAGATTCCATTAGCTTGAGAAGATATCACAATGCTGCTAAAAAAGTGTTTGAGAAAATCAGATCCCAGAATTCTCGGCCAAAGAATGTGGCAAGGTGCCATTCCATTTAAGGAAGTGCTTAAGGACAGGGATGCTGAAAGTTAGGCTATTTGATGACCCTGGCTTACCCAAAGGCCTTCGTAAAATCTGGCCCTAGTTGGACACAAGCACATTTTTGAATATTCCTAGAAGTGAGAGGAAGGGAGTTTCCAAGATGTAAAAACAGGAATTGCTTGCTTAGTTTCTGTTCCAGAATACAAAATGTCTCCAGATTTTACTATGCCATTCTGTTCTCTTCTGATGACAACACATAGCTCCCGTGAACTCTGAAGCCAGCTATTCCTTGTATTGCTTATATCAGTGTTGTCCAAACTTGGCCACTTTAAGATGAGTGGACTTCAACTCATGATGGAACTTGAAGTCCACT